CTAGGGAGGAAAAAAAAAAAAAGCACAGTAATAAAGTGTTTAAATGACACCATCCAAAGGAAGTTTGAAGCACTTCATAATCAATTACATATGCAAAACCCCTGAGAAATAAGAATTAACCCCGTTTTACAGGTTTGAGGACTGAGGCCCTGCACAGCTGCCCACAGTAAATCTGTCTGGAGAGCCAAGCAGAGGATCTTGGTTTGCCATGAATTCTTTAACCATATAGATGCACACTCAAGACTGAGCAAATGCCAACACCTTAGTGGCCTGACTGCATAATAAAACATATAAAATAAAAGAGGCCAATTTCAGAATAATGAATGTCAGCTAGCTGACCGCTCCAATCCCATGACTCTTCATGAGATTTGGGTAGCCAACTGCTTGCTGCTGTTTGTATAAATAAGTAATTATAGAAGTTAAGGAGAAAATCTGCATATTTTCAGATAGGTAGAAGACAAAATGCATATGAAGGCTGATTTAATCTTTACCAGATGGCTTCTTGAAGTTGAGCACATTTGCAGGCCAGCATGGGAAAGTTAATAATTTTCCTAGCAGTGCTACACCTGTTGTATAAACACCTTCTGTCTGCCAAGGTACTCAAAAGCAAATACTAGCAAATAAGAACTGAGTCACACCTACAAACTGAACCAAAAACTATGAAAGATTCTTTGTTACAACATTGTCTCATAATTTTGGTTTTTGTTGACCTTCTGAAGATCTGCCTGTTAACACAGAACTCAAACAACAGGCACCAAATTTACATCATCCCCTTATCAAAGCCCCATTTCGCTGTACATGAAAATCCATAAGAAATTCAAGTATTGGTAGAAACAATAAAGGCTTTTCCCCACTTCAGCACTCCCTGTTTCTAATTTCAGTTTTCATCTGGCAATTCCACAGATCACATATGCCAGACAAAGCATTTCAGCCTCTGTCAATGATTGGATTATTCTATGATCTAGTTAGTGGAATGGACACAAATGTCTGCCTAACAACAAAAAAAATTGCTTTTTCTTTGTGAAGCACAGCTGATGCAGACACCAGTACAATTATTTCTTAGAGCTTAGATATCAGCTCAACATCATAAGGCTTTTTATGTTTAAAACAGTAGCAATGCTTTTTCTCTACATATCTATATATGTAGAAGCATAAAAAGCTTGCTGCAAATAAAATCAGAAGGCTATGCTATTTATATATTTGTATATACAAACACATATGTTATATAAAGTAAGAGAAAGATAGGAAGAATGGAAAAAAACCCACAATATAAAGTTTGGGCCTGTGCAGATTTTCATAGACATTAGATAACAAAAATGTACTAACAGATAAATAAACTTTAAAGAGGTATTTTAAGAATTTTAATACATTTACATATTTACTCAATTTTCCCACACCTTACAGCAATGCTCACCTGATGAGCAGAGACATCCAGGAGGACTGAAGAACAAGTAGCTGACTTTCCAAGTCAACGAGACATCAAAGATTGGCCTTTACACCCCTAAACAAAGCACTCTGCTACCCCTCTTCACAAAAATATGAGATGGCTAAATCATAACCAACACTAAACAAGATTCTTCTAGCTCTTTTTAAATACAGCTGTCTCTTCTAATATATTAATCTATTTTGCACCCATGATGATCATGAGTTCTTTTCAGCACTTGGTAAATGTTTCATAAGCTATTATTTTTAAGTTGTCTGAAAGGGCAGAATTCTAAAAACAAGTGTATAAGGTAAGCTAAGTAGTAAAATGTTTTAAAGTGCTCTTTAATGGATCCTCCTTTACAATTTGAACAGCAACTTTTCATATCTGACATAAAATCCATAGATATAAATCACATTAGAGGGTTATTCTTTCCCCATTATCAATCTCTGTCTCTTTATGGAACACTAAAGTCACATTTGACCTTAAAACATGATAAAATGGAAATCAAACTAGAATGTTTTGTAAAAGATATAATGAACTTGTACCTCTTAAAAAAAAGTCTCTTTATGATGTAATTTTGAACACATCCTTCATTAAATACAAACAAAGATTTTCAAAATGTAGCTGTGACAAATGGAGAAAAAAATGGTATTTTATTGTCCTGACAACTTCAATGAAAACATAACCACCATGTTATAAAATGGAAATATAACTCCACTTTTCAGGAAATTCAGCATTTAGTATGAATAGCAATTTGCAATTATACACCAAAACTGAGAGACTCACACATGCAGCAATCCCATAAAATTATAACATCACTCCAGGAGGAACTCTTAACCATTGTACGCTCTTTACAATACATATTTTACACACAAGAAAGAAAGAAGCCACAGTTCTGCCAAATATCTGTCAGGTGCATATATAGTTACTAACCCTAAGAAAGTTCTGCATGAAAAATCTTCTCTTTGATCATACAGGTGACACATCAATTGTTCAGTGGCTCCTACCCTCAATATATGCCAAATATACAGCAAAACAGAAGCTATTTCTCCCCCTCCCTCTCTCAAATACTTTTAATACAGGAGTGAAAAAAGACTGGTTCCACCAAAAAAAAACAGAAAAAGACCCATCCTAAAGAAGCCAGTCACAACTAGACTGTTCTGAAAGCACTAAAAAGACTGTTTCTCTACTGTATTTTTTCATTTTCCAGATGCCAGGTTCACCTGGTCCATTCCTTCTAAAGACGCAATACCAGGATATAGAGTGGTACCATTAATACTTAACACTAAATCCCAATCCATTTATGTAATATAAAAATCCAGCCTGATTTATGTTTGTGATCAAATTCAAAAATGTATTTTTACAGTTTTACTTCTTCTTCACTGTTTGATCTCTTGCACTTGCAATATGCACCCTGTCATGCCTGAATATTTTTTACAATTAAATTTTACATTATTTTACAATTTTTTACAATTGAATATTTTTACAATTAAGACACACAGTCGCATGCCTACGTAATTTCTGTCACCTGTTTAGGCAAGTGTGCAATGAAACTACAATCACAAAAGTAATGCACTCACACATGATAAAACAAAGCGCTGAACAGGGAAAAATATGTATTTTCATAAACACACCTCACAGGCTACCTCCAAAAAGTCTGAAATTCAGTGACTGTTAAAAGTTTTACAAAGGGGAAGTGTATTAAGCAGAATCCTTTGACACAGCAAGGAGTACAGGAAAGACCCTTGTTTTCTACCAGGATGGAACAAAACCCTTGTCTTCGCCGTTATTGCAGAAAATGGTTTTTACCTCTCTCCCGTTCCCTGCTTGGACAAGGCTGCAGGCTATTTGAACATGTAGGTTATGTGAAGATTCACTTTTAAGGCACTGTAATTCTAAAGGAGCACGAGGTCATCCAAAAGGCAAGTTATAGACGTGAAAGTACAATACATTCTGTATGCAGGAAATATTTCAGAAATACTGTTGCAAAACACTGACAGGGTGTCAGTATTCTGACTGTCTATATTTCAGTGAAGAGGAGGATTAATCTAGTGTTTTCAGAAATATTTTATCTTTGATCTTTACAAAAATGTCAAGTAAAAGATTTCCTCTGAACTATCTGCACTGTGCACCTCTGCAGTCCCAAAATTACACTGTAATGCTTTCGACAAGTGATTAAAAAGTTTAACAGTGTAGGGTTTTTAAAAAAAAACGTTGCACAGTTTTACTTTTATTCTTCAACCCTGATATCACCAAACACTTTTACATATGCCAGTTCCTTTGTCTAATTTGGCTAAAAGCTACTGGGTTTGTGAACAACCAGTCTCAGAGGGTATCACTTAAGAGGAAAAGTCATCCATAAGATAACGCACAGTCTTGCCACTAATGCAAATTCCCTACAAATAAGGATATTTTAGTAAATGAAGGAGCTCTTCAATCCTCTGCTTTCACAGATCTTTGCACTTGACCTCTGACCTGAGGTTTAAAGTCTGGCCTAAAAATGCTACCCAGGGAAATCTTACAAAGACTCCTGAACAAGACTTAGAAAAATGAAAGCTTAAAACCTCAACAGCGAACAAAAGTCAACCAATGACAACGTCTGACAGCCACCGTCAATTCTGAAGTGATGCCTCTGTCATCCAACGACTCAAAGTATTGATTTCTCTCAGCATGAAAAAAGCTTAAGCCAATGAAATAGATATAGCATCATCCCCCCGATAATAGCCATCAAGGTTAACACCAGCAGAACACTTATCAAAGTATCTCTTCTATTTCTTCTTGTTTTAATGGACTGAACACAATGCAATGGTTTCTCATCTCTTCAACCCATGGTTTTCCAAACCTCATTTATCCACTTTTCCAACCTTTTATCTGATTTCAAGATTCAAAAGAATCTGAATCTAAATCAACTGTTTGTAATACAAATGGGGGTGGGGAGGAGTGATGAAAAAAATTGGTTTATAGCCAGACATTCCTGGGGTAAAAAACCCCATGCATTTAAAATCACAACAGAGGAAAAAAAAAACATGCAGTTGACTTAGATCACACTAAACATAGACTGGTAAAACTATGGTCATGACCAGAAAAAAAAATCTACCACAATCAATTTGGGTTAGTGATTAGAGAGAAATGCAAGGATCTCAAGAGACATCTGGTTTTAATTTGTGCTGAGTCAACAGCTTTATTTTTTACCTTCATGTCTCACAGAATTAAGCTTTAGTAAACCCAAATAAACACTAGGCAAAAGCACTTCTATGCAGATCCCACCTTTCAAATAAACCCAACTTAGTACAGTAGGTAAATGAGACAAACTAACAGGAGTTCAACTGGATAAAAAAGTAGCTGACAGAATAACTAACTAGTGAAGAGCAGAGACAAATCACATCAGATTTATTGTGCAGTATCCATTAGTACCACAGACTTTCTTTCAACCTTTTTCTTTGATGCTTATCTAATTGATATTATTTGTGTTACAGTAGCACCCTTGGATCACAATCAAAGACAAACCTTAAGACAAACAAGAGCTCTCACTCTTTGCTAGAAACTAGGATTTGCTACATTATTCCAGTATTCT